TCTAAAAAGATCATCACAACTGAACCCGACTTTTCTCTCGAGTCGTCGTCTGATTCGATGGAAGATAACGAAGCGCTTCGAGAGGAAGAAGACGCTCACAATTTTGATGGCGAAGAATACGAATCGATGGCTAACTCCGGTTCAGACATCAATCCCAACGACTTCTTGGAGACTAAGCTTCGATGTCACGGAGCCTTCTTCTCATCCTATAATCCGAGGTATTGTCATATCATGTGATTGACTACCATTTGGTGCATAATTTTGATGAATAAATGTGTTAATAGGTTAGGAGTGGTGGAAAAGCCGGTGAAACGGAATGAGGCGTGTCGTCCACTGGTCGGACCGGACGGCAAATTCCTATATCCGTGTAGTTATTGCAACAAAACGTTTTGTTCGCTTTCAGATCTCAACCGACACATGAACTTTCACGAAGACGTCCGGCCTTTCAAATGCGAGTTTTGCGAATACCAGAGTCGAACCAATAGTCAACTCAAAGTCCATATGATGAGACACGCCGGTGAGCCCACACAACCCATACACACATCTGCCCTCATTTCAGAATTGAGTTGTAAATGAATTGTTTGAAATACATTTCAGGAATAAAGCAATATTTATGTCAGATCTGTGCCTACAATGGAGTCACACAATCAGATTTGAACCGTCACTGCAAGACCAGAAGTCACGCATTGAGAAGCGCTAACATCTGTCCGCTGTGTTCACTGGGATTCTCGACCCAAACCCTACTCGACGACCATATATTGAAATTTCACGAAATGTCCGAATCGTCCGATTGTTCCGATAAGACGAATAAGACGTCGAATTTGGCGCTGAAGACGTCCACTCCTCAGCCCAACAACAATGAGCTCTCATTCTCATCAAAAAGCTTTTCAGTCAAAGAGATATTGAATTAGAATTTTAAGTTTTCAAAACATTTTGCAAAATGTTTCACACTTTCTAAGAGCTGTATATTTATTTTGGCCTCAATTTCGCATTATTTTCAGGTCTTAATTATGAATATTATTATATTATATATAATGCTGTGATTTATGAAGTGTTCCTCTCTTTTTCAAATCAATTATGAAATATTAACGTAATATTGATATTAATATTTTTATTGTGCAATACATTTATTGCAATCTTTTCTCGTTATATAATATAAATTAACGGATCACTCGAATCGGTGGCGGAATTACAATAAAAATTTTATTATATATTTGTTTAATAATTATGAAAATTCTTTTGTCATTAAGAAAAATAAAATGAGAATTTTGTTCACATTAAGAAATGAAAAACTAATTGAGTTATTGTTTTGTTGGACTTATTCAGTGCTATCCCTGTATAGGTATTTGACAAACTCCGGCTTCTGGTTCTCCTTCAGGAACTTCTGCAGATAAGTACAGCTGATCAACATTTGCAGCTTGTTTTTCACCACGTATTTAAACGCCTCCTAACACACCATCACATCATAAATACAATTACTTATCAACATATTTAACAATTGTCTTCATATATCAGTCTATTACTGATCCCAAGTTTGGGATCAGTTCACATGCAATATATCAGTAAATAATGCATTCAAGTTGTGGTCAATAAACAGATGATATCATACCTCAGCCAACAATCCAGCGATTCCTTTGCCTCTTAACTCTTTGGGCACTTCTGTTCAAATCAATAGATAATCAAACCATTAATAAGTGGCAGAATATATGAATCAATTAGTATACGGTATACCCGTGTGGTAGAGATCCAGTACTCCAGCGCTGGTCTGCTTGTAGTCGAGCACTGCCTTCGCTGAAGACATCAACAAACAAGTGATTAAAATGTGTGAATGTAATCATCACTGGAAGTGATGGAAGTGATGGTCAATGAATACCTTTCCCCAACTCGATGTAGAACTGCTTCTTCTGGACGTTGTGTTTGACCTGAAGATCAGTGACTGAACTGAATTGAAACGAACTCATTGTCCATAAACTGGTCACTCGTTTGTCAGCCAATAGTGTCCTGCGATGACATTGTGTCGCCTTCTCGTGGCTTTGGATCAAATGTGTAGCAAATCGACGGATAATCGACATCTCGTTTGCGACACAAATGGTGTGGAAATGAATGGTTTGAATGGTTTCTGTCTTTTCACACAATTATCGCATCGAATGTCAAATTGAGTGCTATTTTTGTCAACACTTTTCCTAACGTTTTATTCATTCAAAACATTAGGCAATCATTCAATACTTGTAATGCATTTCTCGCGCAAAACCCAAATTCAATTCAATTTGATTACAACTTTGAAATGTTATGCACTTTACATGTTATACTGTATATTGCTATTTATTCACACCTTTGCCATTCATTTACAGCTATTCTGTTATTCTGTACACTATTTAGTGATTAGACAATTAATTTCATATTCATATCAAATCAAGTCTTAATCTATGAAATGATATTTTGAGGCAATTTGTATGCAATGATTATAATAGTATAGGAATCTAATGGTCGTTAGAAATGTTGAATAACTATTAATATTGTATTAAAATGTATGCATTGAATGACTACCAAATTATATTACATTATATTTTAGCGTATAATTCATAGATTGAAACTTTAATTGTGATGAAGGGATGATGTGATAGGATGTGGGGATGGGATAGGGTTTCAGTCATTTCTCAATCTTCAGCACAAAATTAATGTTTGACTAAATTATAAGCTATGGTTTGATATAAGATTCAGTGATATAGTGAACAATGGGTGAAACTGTAGGCAAAGCTGGAGATGCCGTACAAGAGATCATAAACTCTATCCTTGATTTTTCTTCATTTCGTTTTTTATTTGGATTTTAATAGTTTTTTATTGAATGCGTGCATAAAATAATTGTATTTTCACTCAACTCTTACATTATGTTTATTCATTTTTTATTGAATTAATGAGATTTTAAATATTTTCCCACTTTTCTCTCTCCTTTCACAAGCATATAATTTTAGATCATTTTTATTATTATTTGTTTGAAAGAAATTACTATTTTTTGAATTACTGGAGAATTTTTATGTTTGTTGAGAGTCTGAATGTATGAGATTTTAGACTTAAATAGTTAGCAATCAATTTGTCAATTCTCGCAAATTGCCTCAAAATGCATTGCCATCCGATTGATTACATCTCAAATCCTGTATCAAAATCTTATTTCGTATTTAACTGTAATTATACTTAAAAAGTTTGCGCATCTTTTCTTTGCATACAACTATTTATTGTACAAATTCTTACTTTAATATACAGTATAATTGCAAATAACGTTATTCCTATAATTATACACAATTATAAAGTGTAATTAAATTTAATAAATGGTCAATAACTTAGTTAAGCATCAATTGATTTTTATGAGCAATTATTCAAAACCTGAAATTATAACTTTCTATAAAATTATATTTAATATTGCTTTTAATTTTGGCATTATTTGAATGTTTTGAATAATTTAAAAACTTTGTAATGAATATTATCAGTCATATGATTATCTCTTAAGTAATATAATGTGGAGACATCTTAAAAATACATAAATTTCATAATTGCTATTACGAAGTGACAGACTCTCCACCTCTGCATTCAAACAAAACAATTATAAATTTAATTCTTTATAATTTAAAGCAACAAAAACCGAAACTCAGAGCACACCCTACCCTTCCTTTCAAGTTTAAAATACCATTAAAAACACACTTTTATTTATTTCACTAAATTTTTACCAATTTTATAACCCATTAAAACAACCATAATATATATCCTTTTGTTTTTATTACTGTTATAGAAAATATTCAAAACAAAACAAACAATTCTTGGATATAATTCAAGCGACTGATGGTAAGGGAGGAGAAAAATAGCGTATAATTCATTGCAACCAAACTTTTCTGTCAATTGGAAATGTCTTGAAATGTTTAATTCTCACGGGTTTTGAATGACTTATATCTGGAGGAAAGCAATCGATTTGTTTCATTAATATTATTCGTTTAATTGAAAAGTCTGGTCATATTTTTGTGCACAAGAAAACAAAATTAAAAAATAACATTAAATTAATTAATTGAATCTTTTTTATGTTGTTTTTTGGGTGAATGAGTACGGAATCTAAATGTCTTATTAAACGATCCGTTTTTTAGTTATATTTCTCCGAAACGAAAATCTTGTTTTTTTACACTCGAAGCCGTATATTATCTATAAATATATCCATAAAATAAATTAATAACTAAATCAATATTAAGATAACTCAACGAAAATTTTGAAGTGAAATATTTATGAAATGACATAATATTTGATGAAAAATAATAAAAATTTCTTCCTCTATAAAACAGTATTAATAGAAATCGTGACTTTACTTTTGGTGAACCATAAAAACCATTTCAAATTGTATTAAAATTATTCAAAAAAACTACATTACGGTAAATATTATAGCGATAGAGGAACTCATTTTGAAAACTTTTCCCACACAAGAAAAAAGTTATTATTTTCAAATGAAGTAAAACACGTTAAACAATATTTCTTGATTTGTTTTATTAAAACATTCACTTTATATAAAACTGAAAGTCTTGTATGCATTCATTTTTTTTGCTATTTATACAAAATTTGATGAAATTTTTATCCACAAATCAGATGTTCGTATAAATTAGTTAATATTTTATCATAAATTATTATCTAAAGATCTTGTTGTGAATCTTCTAACAATTTAAAGCGATATTTCAAATTATTGTTTATTAGTTAATATCTAATAATTACTACCCTTTAATATACATTTTACATAATATTTTATAGCATATAAATAATAATGTAATAAATTATATAATACTGTATATCACTAACCCTTAACTTTGTGTTTAATGGCTCTTAATTATTATTTTCCTATAAAATAAAAATAATATCAGACAACAAACTCGTGTAATATTATATAATATTAATATAATATATGAAACATTAATTCAGACCATATAATTAGATGTATATTGCGATTAATTATTGATGCGATAATTGAAAGAAAAATAATTTGTATTCAAAATAAAAGGATATTTTATTTATTTTTAATATTGTTTTTCTATTATCCAAAACAATTAATTACATAATTTATTCAAAAATCACAGCATTTTATTTTTTCATCAGAAAAATCTATTTTAAATAACTTTATATAAAAATAATATCAAAAATATCATAAAAAATATTAATTACATAAAAATATTGTTTTTTTTAGTTATTACATAAATTGTTTCAAAAGAAATCGATTAAATAACTAAATAAATTCATATAACACTGAATTTATTAGTAATTTAATTGATTTTTACATGGTTTAAAATAAAATTGACTCAAATTGAAAAACACCGGACAATTGAAGACATTCCCGTCTAAAAGCCATCACCCGATTGGACCCATAAAGAGGTGCCTTTAATACCATTATAAAAGCTAATAATGGATATCCTTATAATAGTTACATTTATTTATTGATTTAAATCGTTAATAAAATTATTTTTGTCATTTATAGCTGCCTTGTGTTGGGCTTTGTCTGCATTTATTTCAGTGCAAACTATTTAAATAAAATTATTTTCTATAATAAAATCTCAATATATTAATGAAATTTCACGCATTTTTGCGCTAATTTAATGATGTTTATAATGATATCCTGAGGAACTGTATGGACTCAATAGCATATAATAAATAAAATAAATTTTATATTGATAATCAATTTGTGCACAAGTGTTGAAATCAATGGCATAAGACTTATGACAAACATTTGATAACAAGAATAAAATTTCTCTTAACTATAGTGTGCTGTCCATCGGTTATGAAAGTTAATACAAAGTTAGAGAATAGTTAGTATTGAAGAGAGAATTAAGAGTATTTGTTAGGCACTTATGTTGTAAAATATATGGAAATGCCATATAAGGGTCTGTCTATAAGTAATAGTTTTATGAATGCCTTTATATGAAAGATTGTAAAGAAGGCTAAACTTAATTATGGAAATCTAAATAACATTTATGTTGTCATCAAATAATAAAGATTGGGGTAAGAAGTATGTGACTGTTTGGTGGGATGAGTCCCTCAAAACTGATTATAAACTATTCAATTAATAATTTGTTAAGTATTCAACTCAACACATATATCAATATAATGTAATGTAAGTAAAAATGCATTTTAAGAATCAATGTTTGTAAAAAGTACAGCACTTTATATAACAATACAAATATAAATAAAGTGATTATTGCTTATACTTATAAACTATATTCACAATTATTTCCTAATATATGGCTTTACTTAGTTTTTGTTAATTAAATAATAGGCAGTATTGTATAGCACTCGTACCCCTAATAACCTTAACCTTAATTCATTTGTCACTTTAAAAAAGGCTATAATCTCATTGCTTGTAATTGACATAATAACACTCAATATCGTATAAATAATTATAAACATTATAAAATAAATTACTTATTAATATGATAATGAATGCTATGTTTCACAAACATCGAAATGACAGTCTTTTAAAGATATATGAATTATGAATAAAAATCACAGTTAAAGCCTATAGGAGTTTGGTTTAAGTTATAATATTACTATGGTTAATATGATATAAGTTGCAATTTTAACGTTTGAATCCAAGTTATGGCTATGATTTACAAGAAAGCATATGAACACCCAAATGGCCGGAGAGTCCCATAAAATAAAGCATAGACTGAGAGATCCCTGTTATAAGACTTGATTGGTTTTTTGGCAATCAATCAAATTAAGTTATTTGTTATAAAAATACAACTAATTTTTACAATTATGTAAAACAACAGAAAATAAAGACACTTTCGGTGATTAGGCAGGAGATGGTATCCATTCGTACAAAAGTTAAGATTTCATTCATTTATGAATTTAAATATTAGTGAAAGTGTTATAAATAATTAAAAACAAGGAAAATGATGAAAACGATGAATTATATAAACGAATCTCAACTTTTGTACAAATTTTTAACCACAAATAAAATTTATGAAAAAATGAGTTATAATTAAATATACTATACAATAGACTACTCTCTATTATATCCCAGATTAGAATAGGGACCCGAATAGACAGAGCTGGCGGTCGTTGACGCGCCTTTCCTTCTCCTCCTTCGCTGAAGAATACACGCGACCAGAAGAATGACGGCCAGCATTAGTAATAGACTGGCGATCGCCACTCCTATCGCAAACTTTCTCATTGATATACAAAACTCTTCGTCTATTATCGACTGCTTTGTATCCGAATCTTCTCCTAAAAATAAGTAGTTTTTTAGAATTAGTTGTGACAAAACAATTGTCATATTGTCATCGGGTGTGCGGTTAATACAGAGGCGATCGCGCGTTCCGGTCATAAAAGGGTAATTTAAAGAACACAGAGGCGGGTGAGGGGAGGAAAGCATGCATTTGATCAGATGTGGAGTAGTTTTACAAAATAATATGTTATGTAAAAGAAAGTAATTATAAAAACCTTCGTTCTCTTCCTCTTCATTATCGTTGACATAAAGGCCTGAATAGACTTCAATACTAAGATCCCTGACATCATCTCTACGGACATCTGCCAGCGCTCCGTCTTCTATGAGATCACTTGTGTCTCGTTTCTCACGGCGTCTAAAATTGCGCCCATTTTTGTCGCAATCGGGCGGCTGTTAAGGGGTTAGAAAAGTTAATTTTGTTCACAATTAGTTATGCAATGGTTGTATGTGTAGGACATACCACATCCTCGCAGCCGCCGGCATCCTTCAGGCAGAGTCTGACATTGCATTGATAGTAGACCGACGATGTATATGGAAATTTGTGGGCATGAAAGGCCACCACAGCTCGAGTTAGATTTTGCGTGTATTCAAACGATCCCATAATCTCTTCATCGACGGGACAACTGGAATGTAATGGAAAAATGAATTTTTTATTCTTTTCTTAAAAGAATTCATTGAATTCTTTTTGAATTTTAATAAAGCTATCAATTAAGCAGTTTATGCACAAGACATGAGTGAAAAGCCCTACCCATCGTCATTAATGAGGGGCTGTTCGCCCCAATTGAGTCCATCCCGAACCAGACAATTGGTTACTTTCATACCATATATATCTGAAAACAACAATTTCCATACATTAACATGTTTTCCAATTAAATGAGCATGATAAATTTAGAGTCAAAGTACTGGTATGCAAATTACCTTGATAATCGATGGCAATGGCGAGCGTAAGTTTATCACCAATTTTGACATTTTCGGCCACAATTTCATTGGTAGTGTCGGACACAAAGATTTTCATAGAGCAGGAAGGCATGGGTGCCGTTGCTATAACGGGTGTTGTGCCGATCATACTGTTTGTGAGACAACAACAAAAAAAAACTCGTTTGAATTAATTTTGAGGAAACGCTACTCTTTAGCCATAATATATGGATAATTAAAATTAATTAATACGACGATTGAGTGAGTTTTGGTTCACACCTACACTTCCACTCGACTCTGCATTTTATTTATTGCCATTACTTTCCATTTAATCGGCAAAAGCCTTGAAATGTATAGAATTTATACCCTATTTCGGCAACAATTTTGGCAACATTTGACATATTTTAAAAAAATGTTTTACCAATAACAATTTGATAACAATATCTTTTACGATCATGTTTTATGGTATTATTTGAAGAAATACACCGTAAATATTGTAATTATATTTGCAATAATACTTTTGAAAATCTCAAAATCTTTGTATTATTTATTTCAATTCACTTCATTATATTGTATTTAATGCTCTGTCAATCATACTTTATATAATAGTTTAAGTATTAAATCTTGTATTTTCTTCAATTCAAAAGTGGTATTAAATGAAAAGTACTGATAATTATAGGAGTAGTGACTCATTTCACACGCAAACAGAGTTTGAATATAACATGGATTGCGAAATATATTGAATGTAAAAACCCCGATGAGATGAGACCGGAGACATAGATCACCAGTTTTCGATACCCGTCCCAACTATTGATCTTCAAAATATATTTTACGTTCAAAGTAATCAAAAAACATTGAATGTAAAAACTAGATTGACTGACAGACACACCAGACATTTCTCTTCTCTCTTTCTTAATTTCTATATTTCTTTTTATAACTTTTATTAAAATGAATACTAAAGAAATGTTTAGTGAAATTAGTTGCAAATGTTTTTAAAATTTTTGTTTTTGATATCACATGACATTTACATAATTTTATCTTCAAATACAACTAATTTTGGGCTTTTAATAGAGACTTATAGAATGGGTTGTCAATGATTGACAAGAATATGGTATAAGTAGCCATAAGAGGATATACAGTATTATATCATAGAGTATATGTCGCTTATGCTTATCTCAAATGCTTTGGGCTGTTGTTAACAAACATTTATTAAGATTTGTGAAGCGAGAGGTGGAGTAATTTTGAATGCGAATCCATGAATCCGTTCCGCTTTTTAACTCTCAATGACTTAACATTGCATTGAAATTCACAAATTCAAGGCAACTATGCTTTGAATTTCCCTATTGTTTGCCATATTTTCCCAAAGTATTTATAGAAACTTTTGGTTTGTTTGATCCAAAGCTTAATAATTAGAATTAATTTTTAAGCACAAAAATAATTGTTATTTTCAATTCAAATAATATAATTTATATGTCGTATTGTGAGGGCTATTGAATAAATATATGATTTGTAAATGAGTTCTCGCTTACAATTTGTCACACAATAATAGAAAGGGATATAAAACGGGATAAATAGTGAAAATATGTTTGCCATGCATTCAATTGATTCATTTATTCAATGATTCACTTAAACAAAGTCTGTGTTTTTGAATTACAGAAACAAAATACATGACAAGAGAATTGTGATCATCGATGCGTTATAATCACTGGTAATATCTTGTAATATAATGTTAAGGACTAGAGATATAGCCAACAGACAGACAGACACTGGATTTTTGAAATTCTCATCTTTGAAGTGAGGCCTCAAACCATTGGCCAAAATATGAAAGATTGAGCGAAAAGAAGTTCAAATGAAAAGAAAGAAAGTGAGAGAGAAGTAGAAAGAAAGGAAGAGAGAGAGAGAGAGAGATTTGAGAAGTCACTAAATAAGGGGATATTAAAAGTATAGAGAGGTATACACAGTGTATAACGTAAGGTATGAGAGGGGAAACACAAGGATGTTATCGAACCCCATTCAAGGCAGACACTAACTCTCAGCTCTTGCATAACGACTTCAGATGTAATTCTAATCATTAGAAAAAGAAAATGTTTTTTGAGTGAATGTTTTGAGTGAATGCGTGCAAAAAGATCGTATTTGCCGTCCATTCCCTTCCCTGTGCTCTCTTTCCAAATCATTTTTGTTCTCATTCTCTCTCTCTCTCTCTCTCTCTCTCTCTCTCTCTCTCTCTTCCTTTCTTTCTACTTCTCTCTCACTTTCTTTCTTTTCATTTGAACTTCTTTTCGCTCAATCTTTCTTGCCTAAAACGGGGAATCTATGAAAACGCCGATAAGTTCACAGAACTATTAATTACTGATTGTATGCATAAAATAGTTTCTCTCTCTCTAACCCAACATTCCATTAGAGTTCACTGCCTTTATAACCATCACAACCACTGCCATCACATCGACTACCAAATCGATCAAAACTTATAGAAATGCTTTTCATATTTAATCTCAAATCTCGTTCATAGATCTGACAAATAATAAACACATTCACCTATAATTCAAACCAATTTAATGTTTAAAATATAGTATTTTTAGAAAAGAAATCGAAATCTAAAAGAATAGGAAATAATTGAGACACTTATGCGTTGAATGAATGCTTGTTTTCATTGCCAAAACAAAAACAACTTTTGTCTTCATTTTGAGCGAAAAAAGAAAAGAAAAAGAGAAACTATTTTATGCATACAATCAGTAATTAATAGTTCTGTGAACTTATCGGCGTTTTCATAGATTCCCCGTTTTAGGCAAGTCTTGCAAATTATTGACAATTTGTGTGAAAACAATAATTACCAACAGCTCTGAGGGAAGAGATAAGTATATAATAATAAAGCAAAACACAGAGTGTTTCAAATTCCTGGATTACGGAGTGTTAGCCAACATATTCCTGAGTCACGAAAATTATATACAAAGGCAAATGAATAATTCATTGATTATATTGTGTTTGACAAAACAATTGGCCGGACTATCGGCTAAATCTATTAAATACTGTATATATTATACTATTTAACAATAATTTTGCCAAACAATCCCGATGTCCTCTAAAAGTGAATAAATTTTACTTTCAATAGCAATGCGTTTATTTTGATGCCAACATCTGCCAGACGTATGAATTACTTTTGAATTACTTTTTTACTTTCTAAACCAATAAATGGTTTAATTCCGAGAAATAGTGATTCAAAACTGGGTCTTTTTGATTGCATTATTTACATCACACACAGTGTACTGTATATTATATAATAGACGAAAACCATTGCTTTATTGTGTATAGTGTACAGAGTCTACAGTAGTCTACACTATAATAGCCTTCTAAGAAATGCTGGACTAATTTTGAGCGCTTTTGGACGGTAGGAGGGGAGAGGGGGGACGGGGTGTCACTTTCAGTGTTCGCTTAAATATATGTTCTTAACGTTAAATATAGTTTTTATATTTTCTCCAAACTTTTGTTTGAATTTTTCAAGACCACTGAGACTAACATTAAATATCTTTAAAAAATGTCTGCCTTTTGATCTCACATATGATCTTTAGCTGTAAAGATAAGTTTTGGAAAAATATTATTTCAAATAACGTTGATTAATGACAGCAGATATAGAGGTCCGATAAGCTTTGGATAAGACATCGGTTCACATAATACTAATAACTTATGGTTCCATAAGTTATGGTTTCGTAAACGCTTATCAATTAAAAGTGAGAACCAAAAGCCATACTTCATATCCGGATCTTAACAAAAAAGGTGTGAATAATTCGATAATAAATCAAAAAATTAATTTTTCCCTCAAAACTCATGTTCAATACAGCGATAAATAATAATCACTATTTTTAATCAAATTATATAATGTTTATATCATTAATTAGTTAAAGGTTTTCTAGATTTCAGTTTTATATACATTTATTAAACAACTAACTATTGATTATCTATTCATTACATAAACACTATTATTAATAATAATCCATTTGTCAAATGAATGGAAATAACTTATTATTATTTATATGTTTTTCATCTATTCTAAAGAAATACATTTTTCATACAATATTTCCAATCATAGGAATGAATGTCAGTATTTGTATTAAATAATCTTTGATTTATTAAAGCAAAAATACACCTAAATTTCATAATTTTTGGCAACAAATTTATTGCATTGATTTTTGAACACAAATATTTGGCATTAACTTAAGCTCGTAATAGACTTTCATTGAATATCTCGGAGTCATTGCTCTAATGATCTATTGAGATGAGAGAGTACTGTAGAAATGGTATAATATCTGCGGTATTAAGACTTTTTACGACTGACTTTCGAGACGAAATTATAAGTAGATTTGTGCCTAAAATTGTTTTTCTTGTTTTTTGCACTCCAAGTGAACAAACGTCTCATGAATACTGAAGAACTTATGAAAAGCAAAGCTATTATGAAAAACATAATTATATTCACAAATTTCATGATTCATAGGATATAAGAATCACTAATTGATTATTGAAATTAAATGTAAATTTAAATCATTAGAATTGTTTTGAAAACACATTACGTTATATACTGTATTGACAAAGTATTTGCAAAAAATGTTATGTACTATATCTAAATATTATATATTCAAATATTCTATATGTATAATATTAAACAACAGTTACATTAGATATGGTATAAAGCATTAGGTTCCCAATGGGCAACATTTTTGGGAACCGATTATTAAATACTTTACGCACTATTAAGTTTTTAGTGGCGACAAGTCGTATAAATTACCATGGTCTATCGTACAACAGTACAAATGTGTAGTTAAGAAAACGATTTGAAAACTCTTGGCAATAATTTGTACACAACATTACAAAGTTTGTGAAAAGTTTGCACAAACTCTCACATTAAGCTGATTTAATATAAAATATTAATGGCAACCTTAGCTCAAGCTTCTCAATACTGTTTATTATATAAAAATCATTAAACAGTTGAGTGTATATTATATGTGCGAATATTATTTGCAATTCACAAACATTATTGTGTAATATATATGCAGTATATATACGACACCTGAGAATTTACAATCAAATAATCTTAAGCCGTTTTAAGGTCTTTCACTTTTGCAAAGAGAGGCTAAGATTGTGCTAACAGTGTATAGACTGGTCAACAGTCAAGTCTACGTGTGTTAGTCTTCACTTATTCTCATATACTTGTAATTCAAACAAGTAGTGAAGTTATATAATAGGTTTGTGAGAAATCGCATGTTTCCTGTATATTACGTATGCAGTGAGTGAGTGAGTGAGTGTGTGAGTTAGAGAGAGAGAGAGAGAGAGAGAGAGTCAAGTCGTATAAATTACCATGGTCTATCGTACAACAGTACAAATGTGTAGTTAAGAGAGAGAGAGAGAGAGAGAGAGAGAGAGAGAGAGAATGTTGATAAATTTTTGTTGCTATTAGATTTTAATGAATATTCTCTACTCTCAACTCTTTGCATGTCAATTATTTGATGGCCTAAAGCATTGTGTGATTAAATCAATGTTTACCTGACATTAAATCCATTGGAAATTCTCTTCTCTCTGGTCTGATATCTGCATCTTATGTGATAACCTCTTCCCTGATTAGTGACAAGTCGTCGGTGCGGTTGAACCACAACTGTATTGAAATACTCGACCCCATCGTCCTTTCACAGCAAGAAAGTAATGCATAATATATTAGTCAACGATTTGTTTTGCTTTTTATCGTATAATTTAATAAATTGTGGAATATTTAGAAATAGAAAGTATTTTATATAAATAACCAAAAAAGCATTTAAATGTATAACAATGGTATGCATTGAATATGCATTTGGTCTCAATGTTATGCATATATAAATGTTTTGTCTGTTATGAATGAAGGAAAGGGAGAGTAGAGTAGCGTATGAATGGTATGTAAGACTTACCACATCAGTGCTCATTGTATTACATGAACGAAGCGGTAACTTATAGGTGATATTGGCAGTGGATCTGTACTCAGCCATACAACTCGAGTTCTTTGATAATCCTTTTGGATATATCATACCATTGAAAGAATTGGGTGCACTTAAGGTCACGAGTATATCATTGCTATTACACTCGATGTGCACGTCATTCACCAACGATTCTCCAGTAATACTCTTGGCTGATATCAAAGCCTAATCATAGAAAAGACAACAAAAAACCAAAACTCAATCAATTGTCGCAATATTTTTCTTACTTTTTCTTGAAAGTAAGTGAAATTGATTAATAAATAATCACTTAAAATAAGTACAGTATAAAATTCTTGAATAAAAGACAAAAAACAAATTATAATGAATTTAATTATGCGACCAAAAAGTTAGTCAAGAATTTTTCTAATGTGCAGACATTGGGATATTTTAGTAGTGTTTGTAGTATACAGTAGTGTTTGTCTACATTTAAACAATTAATTCGTAATATGTTATCACTTCTATAGACAAGAGTTTTAATGTATTTGCAGTTCATTTCATAATTTTGTTCTTTATTTAAATCAGACTTTCTTTTTGTTATAAATATTAAGGAAACGAAAGGAGAGAACGAGAGGACCACTCATTATAATAACTCGTATGAATTACTAAAGTAGTTTAGTTAACAATTATTTCCTGGTTTTAAAAATTAATTAAACAATAAAAATAAGATGAATTTTCTAAAACAAATAGCAGTCCCACTTTTTATCGATGCTAAAGGTATTCAAGTATTCGTTTAGAAAACACTATTCAATAAAATGTGTTAGAGTTTTGCGCTCAAAAAATGAAAACTGCCTCAAAATAACTTCAATACTTTATATATAGCGATATAGTGGCGAGAAATTGAAAAATGTAAGTCTAAAGGGAAAGAAAATAAAAATATATTTTATCAGATTTTCCTTTTGTTTGCGTGACTTGTTTTGTGTATAATTTGACGCAACACTACATCAGAGGTACAGTAAAACAAGTCTTTACTCTTATTAACTGCATCTGTCATTCATTAAAAAAGTTATTTAACTAAACAAACTATTGGCAAACCTTTTATGATATTGAATACCATAAAAGGTAACCAAACATTTGGCCTCATATTACAGACAACGGAACTTTCAAAATACGTTAACTTTTAATTTCTTAATCATTAATTTGAAACACAATTAATATTCATAAGAGAGTCTCGGAATACAGTGGCGACCAAACAATGACATGAATATTTCATAACTGCTGTCCTTTTGTTTTATAATTTTTATTAATGGTTTAATTGCATCGTATTTTGCGATCCTTTAAATTATAACACGTATTTCGCTAAATATGGTCATTCAATGTTAAAACTACCGTTAGTATAGTTATGCCGTTTATATGTAGTAGGTTTTGAAATTTTAAAATCTTTTGAAAGATAGTTTGAAACATTGATATTAAACTAAATTTCATAAAAATGATATTTTGAAAACGTTTTAAAATATATCAACATTTTATGCTCAAAAACTATTAGACATTGATGCTTTAAATAGTGTATAAACATTGTTACCTAACATAATTAATTTCTAGATAATTATTAAGATGAAGTTTAATTATGATAAGGAATTGAATTTGTTTATCATTTAGTGAGTCAAAGATAGATGTTATAAATACATTGAATACTGAAATCTGGATACAAATTGATCCACTCTTCAAACATTTCGTTTCATTTTCAGCATATTTTATCCATTAATTAATGTATAAAACATTAATCAAAGCAATCATTAAGAATACGTGTAATGTATTACAAATTATACACTTTAATGGCGTTTTCAAAAGTGGTTTAATATGTTTAAACATATTTTGTTATTTATAACAAAAAATCATGTTTTATATGTTTAGACATCAAACGAATGATATATTTCATAAGTTAACTGTTTTGAGACAAACATAACATTCAAAAGGCATTGTAAGCATATTATACGGTATAAATAGATGGGTTTGAAAAAGTGTTATAACAATTAAAATGATGTAAAACTTACCAAAAGTAGAACTGAAAATGAGTTCATTTCATATGAAATGAAGAAACTGTTGAACAAGTATTACAATTGAAAGCAATTGTTGTTTCACTCGATTCTCATGTGCTGTTAGACGAGTGTGAGAGCGATCACTGACTCTCGGCTCAGACTCCACTCCAACTCCACTCCACTCACGACTCCCACCACCGCTCCTGTCATACAAAAAGCCTTCTTCTTCTTCTGCCGACTCCGCCTCCAAACAAGTTTTGTCGGATGACCTCAAATGTATTGACCCCTAACTAGACGTCAACTAATTGTACGCAAATTTAATTTACCAAACAATCAAATTTACTAAATTTATTTAGATTTTATATTATACTATACTTGAGACAAACTTTATGTCATTTTTAAAAACTTATGTCCATTTAATTGAAATTGAAGGTAAATCAAAAAATTAATTTCACCAAGTTCAGTGCAACAAATGCATATAAACAGACAATTTACATTATAATATTTAGTCTCGCTTTCATGTTTAATGTCCATAACACTAAATTTATAACTTGTTATGAATTTTACAATCAAATAACAGGTATTTTGTCTTTTTCTTGTAAATTTAAATATTTTCATTTTAATCAATAGTACATGAAATCCGCTAATCATGAAACACACCGTTAGTCTACGTTATAATATATTGTTTTACACATGTTTTAAAATCACGATCATATTTATATCGTATCTGTAATATCGAATTTTAAATAAATATGGTGAATTTTCGAAATGCAAATTTCGTAATACTGTTAATACACGCAATGCTCACAATTGTGTCATTTTTTGACAATTCTGGAAATCCTGACGATTCGGCTATTTCTGAAAGTTATGACAAGTTTGGAGAAAGTTATGAAAAAAATAATTGCAAAAATATACTTAAATTAAATTTATTTAAATAAGATTTTAATAGCTTTTATTATGTGAATGTTTGCGTGAAAGCTATTGAAAAGAAATTGGATTTGTATGGAAAGCATAAAATAAGATAACAACACTTTCCCTATATTTTTGCAGAATTATGATTGAAATTATATGAAGAATTAAAATTATAGTCAAGAAAAATAGATAAACGTTAGTATTTTAGATAATTTTTGATGAAATGAAAGAATTTGAGTTATTTTCTCACATATAAACAAGGTTTGCGAGCAAATCGATAACTAAATCTTATTCTGGAAAAACTATACCGTAAACTTACTTGTTAGAATTATCCCATAGAAATAACATTGCCAACATAGAATTATTATAATTTATAATATGATATACGATATTAACATTAACCCTATTAAATAACATAGCTTCGTTTTAAGTATCATGTGATTTAACCAAATGTTTCATTATATATGTGTTTTGAAAGTACTGTAAACTACCAAATTTATTAATAAATTGTGGTTAAAATAAGCTTGATAAAATAAATATTTAGCTTTATTTGCATTGAAATAAATGACATTTAAAGCCGAAATGATTTAACGAATGTTGAATTTCAACGAAAATGAAACTCAGAAAGAGATGACTTAATAAACTTGTAATAAACTGCAAAATAATACTCAAAACGGCTTATTATATACAAACTCATCAATAATTTAAGAGTTACTGAATTTATTATATAAAAATACTTTTAAGGATTAAAATACAGTAAAACATAAAAGATTAATGTGTGAAACAAATGACAAGTTTGAATGATATATACAATACCAATGAAATGTATTAAAACAAATGGCTAATTATTGCCAGAGAAATGTTTGCAATTTTGAAACACCAGTCAATACTAATTATTATAAGGCTTAGAATTCGCAATAATTTACTGTTTTAGAGGAATGTGTTAAACAATAATAACTTAATTCTTGACATTAAGTTATAAATAACTTTTCCGCAAAACATTAATGAATTTTAAAACATATTATTTAAAATATTTAATAATATGTTTAATGTTTAGAGATTTATTGACATTTTTTAGTGAATCTAAAGGCTTGAATCAATTCAAAGATAAAAAGATTATGTTTTGCCTAAATATGAAACTTTTCATTAGTTTTATCGCTTAAAGCATTTTATAATAAATATATTTTGATAATTAATGAAAGTAATCGTGAGATAAACATTACTAATTGTAAAAGTTTTCAGACTTTTTTTGTTGCTATTTTTAGATGTTATCAAAGTTTTAAAAGTAATTTTTAATATTTTGCTAAATGATAAAATATATTATTTATTTAAAATTTATACCTGTATTGTGTATAACAATAACAATAACAACAATAACAATATCAAGTTTAATATATCATGTTTTATTTAGAGCATCCATTCTTTAAAACCAAATAGTGTTTAAAAATAAACATTTAATGGCAAACGAATGTTTGCAATTAACAACCAATGTCATTTTATTTGAAAACTAAAAAATTTAAACCTCTATCAGAATATGGTAATTTTGCAGACTAATTGAAAATGCAATCTAATTTATTAAAATGGTTTGATATATACGACACGTATTTACAAAAATGAACAGTACAGACTCTGTACGTGGCCTTTCCCTACCTTTCCCTTATTTTTATAAAGTGTTTCATTTGAGTTAAAAAACAAAAATGAATTAAAACAGGAATTTGAATATAATATAAAACATTATTTCTTATTCGCATTTTCTTTCATGTAATAAAATATAGTTTGGACTCAATTTTGAAATCATGGCAAATGTTAGATAAGGGAAAACCTCCGCCTCTTATTTAATAATGTATTCTTTGGCTCACAATATATTTAATGCATAAATTTTCAATAAAATAATGAATATTAATTGTATTTAAATTTAATTGGTTTCTAACATTTTCTTTCTATAAATATTAATACAATTAGAATTTCTGACATAAAAATGAATAGATTTTGAATAAAATGCTTGTAATGAAAATCATGAACAAAATCTAATATTTAAAAACTTATGATATATTGAATACATTTACTGTAAAGAAGAAAACAAAACGCATTAAAAAAATTATGTGTTTTTTATGGACACAAAACTAAATTCAGATCTGATTTGAATACATGTTCTGATGAATTGATGGAAACACTTATTTTAAATAAAATAAATTATTTATTAATAATATTCTACACTATCTGTGAAATTATAGATTCATAAGTCGTTTACACTTTTGACTTATTTTTATACATCAAAAGAGAATTTTCTTTATTTTCAAAAAACATTTACCGAAAATATATTCGGAGAGAAAGTACTGAAAGAATTAAAATAATTCACATTTTGTTAAACTTTATTACTTTTTGTGCGAATAATGAACTCAATCCGAAATCAAATGGACGGCATGGGGTCTAACAGTCGATTCAATAGAGTCTTCGACCATCTCTTCCAATACTTAAATAACATTCAACTCGAAAATACATTTACAATATATATAACTCTTTTCTTGAAGAAAAAAAATCAATTAATAGTAAAGTATTTATCAAAAATATGTATGTTATATGATTTGAAACTAATTTATAACTCCGTATACTATTAAAAATGTGTAAAAATTAATAAATTTTAATGTTATTTGTGATACAGTTGTTAAAAGGTTGGGATGTTTTTGCATTCGAGTCATTGAATCGTTGCATAGCTTGAAGTCTGTTGGGTTGTGTTGACGGCTTCTGAGCGCTGTATAAATTAAATGATTTTTTGTAGTCAATGTTTCGTTTGATTTATAACTTCTTATGGCTTTCTTTTCATTTTTTGTTGTTTCGGACGATAATTCCCCTGAAATTCAGTGCTTATCAGTGAATATCATACATTCGTGGCATACTTTTACAAAACCCTTTATACTTTATACTATATTTCACTCATAACTAATGAAATAGTAATGAAAACATTTACTTTTGAATAACCATTTTTCATAGTCTTCCACCTGTTTTTCAATTATCATAATAATTAAGAAACGCATAGAAAGTATTAACAATTTTTGTTGTTTAGTCTAACAATTGATAATTACATCTGTTTTTGTTTCGTGACTAAAGTGTTATTTCGATGCTTTGTGTCTATGGATAGACATTCTTCTCCTATCATTATTTCTCCACTTCTTTGTAATTGTGTTTAGATTTCTATTTCACATCAAATCCGACTCCAATCTCATTACAATATAATTAATTGATTTCTTTATTTCCATTAATTCAGTTAAATGTATGATAATTAACCTTTCAATTCGTGTTATTATACATACAATAAGATACATATTTGTTAATAGTTTTGCAATTGTTTTAAAGTAATATCACTTTGAAATTACAAATCATGGGATAATTTTATACTTTGTTAATTTGATACAACTTGACATGTGTTTAAAAGTAAATTAACATTGAAATAAACTTAAACAAAAACATTAGATATTCATTACAATGATTAGAATTTTTAAAATTTCAATTTTGATATATTATTAGATTATATGACTTAAAGTTAAATGAAATTTCATTTTGAAATTTATTTGAAATCGTTTAAAAACATCTTCAAAATTAATTAAAAGAAATGATATAATTGTTTAATTCCTTATTCTATTGCAGGAAACCATTAATAATTATGATTTATTTGTTAAACACATCGTTTGATACAATCATATATACATTAAAAGATCACACAATTTATACATTAATTCAAGATTAATGAGAATAATAATATAGTATTGATATTAACTATAATTTACACCTTAAAACATCACTCATTTAGTATTCAAACCTCGTATACATTGCGGCTATAATTTGACAAAAAGATATTGATTTCTAATAAACTAAAGTAAAGAGTTTTCTAAACGATTATTAATGTCTTGTGAAGATTTGATTAAATCATTGAATACTGAAAATACATTCAATATTAATATTTTAATGTAAATTAGAAATAAAACAAAAAGTTGTTTTGAATAATTAATCTTTAAATAATTACCACTCGTAAAGTAATTAATAGTGAAAATATTTATTAATAACTGTTAGTGTAATTAGTTTCAGAAGATTATCAACAAAATTATTTCAGAAAAGATATTAAAATTTTCAAGTTTAAAAACGAAATACAATTTTTGCAATCAATCAATCAATGAAGTACACGTATAAACTGTCAGTTGTTATACATTTTTATCTCATTCATTCACTTCTGCGGTATATCTCAAGAAATATCTCAAGAAATAAAATGAGATTTTGATTTTTACACAAAAAAGATATGAATCAATAAAATTAGAGAAGAGAGACATTTGTCGCAAATAATTTCCACTGATATTCACCTGAATTTCACTGACATTTTTAAGTCTTATTAACTAATTATTTTTAAATCAATGAATAATTCATATTGTCGTCTAAAATATATT